AACGAATGTTTAAAGTGGGCAAGGAGCAGGGTGGATAAAATTAAATCATAGCACTGACCGCCTTCAATGCGGAGGGACTGGGTTTTTTGAAATAAGTCTAATGTATTTCATACTTAAATTTGTACTAAGAAAAGACATGCATGACAAGTCTCTAAATCGCCTCATGCAACCAGCCTCCTTGCCTCGCTCCAGTTTTGTAGATGAGCAACCTAAGAGCTAAAGCCAGTCCAGAATTGGAAGCCTCGTCTCCTGCACAGAAGCTCAGAGCCTTCACAAAAGGAAGGCCTCTTGGAGTGGTGGCCAGCCTGGGCTCAGCCCCACTTCTAGACATGAAGCAAGTTACTCTGCCTGCCTGATGATGCACTCAGCTCAGGGGTCTAAGTACCTCGTGCAGTACTGGCTGTGGTGGTGCTTCTGTCAATTAGTAAGGAGACGGTCGGGTATCCAGATGGCCTGTGAACATTAGAGCCAGGCGGCCCACCCACAGGCTGTGAGGTCTCCAGCAAGTGCCTTCTTCTGAAGCATGTTTCCTCCTCAGTAAATGAGGATCAATAAAACAGTACTCGTGGGCTGGGGATGAGGATCCCTAACAAGCACAAAATCTGCATTTGATCTGAACAATGCAAACAGATGAATGAGTGAGTGAATGAATGAATGAGTGAATGAATGAATGAAGAATGGGCATAACTGGACATGGAGACACACACCTGTGACCCTGTGGCTCAGGGGCTAAGGCAGGAGGATCATGAGTTCAAAGTCAGTCTGAGCTACATAGAGAGACCTGTCTCCAACCAAACCAAACCAAATATAACTTGTCTAAATCAGAAACACCTAGATGAGGAACTATTCCAAATTAAACCAAAATAACAAAGACGGTCATAGTGGCACGCCTTTAATCCCAGCACTGGGGATGCAGAGGCAGGCAGATCTCTGTGAGCTGGAGACCATCCTGGACTACCAAGTGAGTTCCAGGCCAGCCAGAGCTACACAGTGAGACCATATCTCTAAATAAATATGATTAACAAAACAGGACAACAAAATTCAGTAGAGGGTCTCAGACCAGGACAGGAAAAAATGCTACGGAGAACATTCCGAAGAGAGTGGACAATGGCATAGGATCTGTATATTAGAACCACATTGTTTCTATGTCAAATGCCTTGACTTGGATAGTTGTGCTGTGGGTTATGTAAGAGAATCTCTTATTCTTAGGAAATGCATCCTTTACCTGAGGGGCAAAGGGTCAACGTTGAGAACAACCCAAAAGCTAGCACACAGGCAGGGATAAGCAATGCCAGGAAACTCTAGCTGGTGAATGTGGGCTAAGGATGCATGGGAACTTCCTCAGCTTTTCTTTCTTTCCTTTGTTATTGTTGGGTTGGTAGGGGAGGAGAGAGAGTTTCCTATTGTCCAGGCTGGCCTCAAACCCATTTGGCAGCCAAAGCTGGCTTTGAACTCCTGACCCTCCTGCCTCTAACTCCACAGTAAGTTTTAGCTTTCGGCTTTTCTTTGGAAAATCGTTTCCTTCTAAAGGATTTGGGAGTGGGATGGGAAGAAGAGCCCCTGCCACTACTTGCAGACCAGGTGTGCTAAGAGGTTAAAGAGGGTGTCGGAGCCCGCGGCTGCAGCGGGTGGCTGTAGCGGCCCACCTGCACAATCTCCAGCATTTCCTCCCGGCTGATGTAGCCGTTACCGTCCAGGTCGTACATGCTGAAGGCCCACATGAGCTTCTGCTCCAGGCGGCCACGCGAGGTCACGCTCAGAGCGATGATGAACTCCCGGAAGTCGATGGTGCCGTCGCTGTTGGTGTCAAAAGTGCGGAAGACGTGCTCGGCGAACTTGGAGGCGTCGCCATAGGGGAAGAAGTTGGCGTAGATCTTCTTGAACTCGTCGACGTTGAGGATGCCAGTGGGGCAGTCCTTGAGGAAGCCCTTGTACCACTCCTGCAGCTCCAGCTCCGAGAACTCCGTGTTCTCCCGCAGATCCTGCAGCATCTCCGGCCGCAGCTTGCTGTTCTGCTTGCCCATGGCAGACGAGCCAAGTCCCACCTGGGTGCCCCCCAAAGGAGGTGAAGGGACAGAGAGCAATAGTTTTGTCCTTTCGGTCACTTGACACCACTCTAGAAGGGCCCTCAGACACAAAACACCCCAAATTCTCGTTTGACCCAAGAAGAGAGAGGTGGGCCCCAGATCACACAGCCTGCACCCTGCTCTGTGGCACGCTTGTCTGGAGAGCAGACCCGGAGGAAGAGGAAGGGGCCAGCGCACACTCACTGACACCATTCTGGCTGTCCGTGTTAAGCCTATTCACAAGTGCACATTTTCACCCTCCCAAGGGGAAATCTGGGGATTAGCTCCATTTTCCAGAACGGAGCTCAGAAAAGTGAGATGATCTGCTTCAGGTCACAAGGCCACCAGAGGGTAGAGCTGACCCCCAGAGTTCCCTGGAAGGGTGCAGAAAACCTTCTGGCCCTCCTTTGTACCTGCTGCCCTCTCATGGCTTCCCAGATACCTGCTGACCCCGCAAGGCTGCTCCTGTACCACAGCAATGTCAGGTTCTCTTCCTGAAGACATGCTCAACAAGAGGCATTAATCTGGACCCCAGAGTCGATCACCTGACTTCAAATCCCCTCTCTCCCTCTTACCAGCTATGTGCCTGGGACAATTTCCTTAAACTCTCTGTCTCAGCTTCAAAGTAGGTTTAATAATGGTCCTTACTTCATAGGGTTATTGAGGGAATTAAATTAGTTAATACTTGTGAGCACTTAGAACCATGGCTGAGTAGGCAGGTGCTCCATACATGTTAAGTGAGTCAAAATGATTCACATGTACCCAGACTCCACAAAAGTCAGGCATGATATGCAAGTGCATGTCCCCAGCACACGCATAATGCCACACAGATCACTGAATGCTCTCGCTAGGTTCTATGCCACTCACCTACCATCCTATACCACACATGGGTCGCCATGCCACCACACACAACAACCCCGCTGCCCCACAACTCACACGCACTGACACATGGCACCACGCACAACCCCCATACACTGTGCATCAAGACACACCAGCCCACGACCCCACATGTCTCACACATGCCATCAGACGCCAACTCGCATGCTGACACCTCTCACATGGGCAGCGGCACGTGGGACCTTCAGGTACCCATCTCATTTGTCTTTTTATACCCGGGGTGCTGCCCGGGAGAGGGAGCTGCAGCCCTTCCCAGACCTGCAGAGGACTCCTTTTCTTGGAGAGCCCTACCCAGCCCACCCAAACCTCCCGCAACACTTACCTTTTATCTGGCTCGAAAGGTCCCCTCAGCAGGGATTAAAGTGTGGGGCTGAGGACGACCTATGGAGGGGAGTAGCCAGGCAGGCAGTCCTAGGCACAGATGTAGGGGTGTGTGCAAAGGGCTCCTGAGGTTGAAGATACCAGTAAGACAGGGTGAAGAGGGCTCCTGGTGCATGAAGGTAGATGAAGCTCTGTGTACATGTGTGTGGGTGAATGTTGAAGGTGTGTGCTCCCATGTGATGTGAGTCCCGGGTTCTGGGTTCTGCACCGAGGCTGTCTCCCTGTGCGTTTCTATGCATGTCTGCATGTGAATTCTACATGCGTGTTCAGCGGGCATGCACCTGTCACAAAGAGAAGAATGTACCCGGGATCGTGAGGGGACCTATGTCTGTCCTCAGCAGTGTGTCATGCATGTTCCTGTAAGTTGGTGCCCACCCCCCCACCCCCCTTTCTAGATGAGCCTTTTCTGCCCCAGGCTGAGGAGCCACAGAACAAGTGTGTGGGAAGGGACTGAGGAAATGCGCAGGGCTGAGCAGGGGAGCGTGTCCCTTACTCCCCTCCTCAAGGTCCAAGGAACTGGGTCAGCGGGGCGGGGGCAGAGCGATGCGCTGGGCAGGAGCGCTCCTCCAGGTGCCCCTTCCTCCCGGCCACTGTGGGCACTGCCTCTGTCAGCTGGAAGAAGGGTCTCTTTTCTCCGCAAAGACCCCCGGTGCCCAAAATAGGAGGAACCTCACAGCTCGATCCGAGAAACCCGCCCTGGCATCTCCTCCAAGCCTCCCCCGGCTCCGGCCCTGAGCCCCCGCCTCCATCCTTCCCGCACTGGGCGCGAGGTCCCTCCTGGAGGGGGCGCCCGGGACGGACGGCGCGCGACTCCCGGGAGCCGGCCACTCGGCGGTCAGGACCCTGGAGAGCGCCGCGCGATTCCCCCGGGGCAGTCCCGGGCTGGCGGCGCCACGGGTGGGAGGAATCCCGCGAGGCACGGGGAGGAGCGGGCTGGGGAGCCCTGGACGTGGGTTCCTGACTCCGGGGCTGCCCTCCCCGCATCCCCGGCCCCGGCTGGAGCGGCCCCCACTCACCCAGCAACGCCGAGACACCGACTGCGCAGGGAAGGCGGCGCTGCTGCGGCGCGCGGCGGCAGAGGCGGCCGGAGGGGCGGGCGGGACTGCGAGGGAGACGCCCCGCAGCGTTGGCCCGGAGCCCCTCCCCTGGGGGGGTCCCCACCGGCAGCTAGGCTCCGCCCCCGCCCCCGCCCGGGAGAGGGAATGGGAAGCCCTCACTGCCCCGGGCCCCCTCTCTCGGGAGCACCCCACCGTGGGAAGAAGATCGGGACCCCCCCAGTTCTGCAGGTCGACTCGGGGAGACCAAGGAAAGAGGCAGATCAGTGCCCAGGGACCGCTCTCCTAAGCCGGGAACAATCCGGGGCAGCGCCACCCGATAACTCCCCACCCCTACCTGGGCGCGGGGCCGCCTGTCGCTCCGAGGGAGGAATCCGATAGGCACCCTCACTGCCCCCGCGCCTCAACTCCGGAGCCAGCTGAGCTGGGGGTTCTTGGGAGAGGTGGGAGCGCCCATTCCCCAGTCTCGAGGTCTTCCAGGGGCCAGACACGCCCCCTGCCTACCTCCGCCTCAGAGCACGCCCCCTCTACAGCCTACTATTCCGGATGTCATCCCCCACCCTCTCCAAGAATTAATCCCACCTCCTACCATCAATGTACCTCAATCTTCCCAGTACCCCTCCATGCAAGGCATCCTCTCCTCCCCCAGCCTCTGCGGGTGCAGGCCTGTGACCTGAGAGTGCAGAAACGCGTCTCCACCTAGGGAGGTGGGGCGTGTTTCTGAGGTGGATAGGCCTCTTGTCTACACTCAGGACAGCTGCTCTCTGGAGACCCCGACCCGGTCACAGCATCTGCCTGCAAGGGAGCTGCACCCTCCCTCCTCCAGCCCTGGTACCAATCCCTACAGCCTAAATTCTGTCCTTTCTCCATCTCTAGGCTGTGGACCTCACTGTGTTCTACACTGCCGATGAGGAAATTGAGAATTAGAAGGGTTAATTGCTTTCCCAATGTCTACCAGCTAGTGAGTGACTTGAATTCAAGAGCTCTCATTCATCCATTTCAAAAATATTTCTCAAGCCTTGCTTCTGCACGCCACACTGTTCCGGACCGTCGGGTTGCAGTCATGCAGAAGAAGCAATGATAGAACATACATAGTCAGTTCTGTGGTGTGTTAGATAAGCGATTGGAAGAAGGCTTGGGGAAGCAGCAGATGGAGAGCAATGGGCACTTCAGATTGCATTCCAGGTGAGACCGGAAGTCTTTGCTGTGTTCAACAGAGCAGGTCTGACTTCCATGCAGCAGCTCACCAGAGCTTTATGTCAAGAAAAGAGTGGTCGAGTGAGCCTGGTTTCTGGACCTCCTTAGACGGTGGAGTTGACAGCATTCGTCTCTTCCTGGACGGCTCTTCTCAGGGTGCTCTCTCTGCCTGTAGTTCAGATCATCCTGGCTGCCCAAGACACCAGACAAAGCTCCCCGTCTAGATGCCTAGGTCAGGCCTCTCAGGACGTCCAGACTTCACTCTTGTGCTTGGAGGCAAAGAGGGGGTGTACACTGACAGAGCTGGGGAGCCAGACCCGGATGGAATAGGGACAGCTGGGCCCTTGGGAACACCGGCTCCACTGTGTGCCTTGGCTCTTGTGTTGGGACCCCCAGTGGAGGCGTGAGACGCCAGACGAACGTGGGTGGTTCCCAGCTGCCTCCTTCAGGAAGACCTGCAGGCTGACAGAGAGTGGAGAAGTGCTTAGCCCCCACCCCAGACCCCTTCAATGACAATCCCCCTCCCCTCTCCCTGGTGGGTCTGAAAAGAAGGCCATGCTTGGGACATGGAGAGGAGCCAAGCCCAGAGCCACCCCCTGTCCCCCACCACTTCTTTCCCTCTTTCCTGCCTGAAGCTGGAACCTCCCAGCATGGCTTAATTTCTCTTCTCCATTCTTGGGTGGAAGGTCTCCGTGTACCCGTTTCCTCCAGACTGACTCTTGGCTCGGGCACAGGTTCAGTTGACTCCCGTGCTTTTCTTCTTCAGGAAGGTGATTCTGGAACCTTCCCTCAGCACCTCTGTCTGCATCCTGCCTCCACAGGGGTGTGCTTCCGAGGGTAGGACTGAGTCTCCTCGTCCAGGGCATCTGCTTTCTTGGCCTGTTTCTGTATGTCAATGAGCGCCTCTGAAAGCAGAGACTGGGCCCTCCTGGGAGCTGCTGGCTACTGGTACCAGCCACCTCTACCTTCCCAAGAGCGATCGCAGCACTGGACAGGCTCTTGAGCCAAAGAGGAGGCCTAGGGGCTCCCCACACTCTAAAAGACCCTGGGTCCAAGACAAGCGTCCTGCAGTATAGTTCAGAAAAGGCAGCAGAGGGGTTGCTGCTTGGGAAGCCTGGGTCCCTCCCTTCTTTGGGCAGGTGACATGACAAAGTGTCCCTGGAGCCTTGGGTTTGCCTTAATTGAAGGCCTGATGTGTGCATGCTCAGGTTCTTGCTGCTGATGTCCCATCCCCTCTCACTCAGAAGGAGGTGTCCGGGAGGGAGGGAGGGAGAGAGGGAGGGAGAAAGGAGGAGCACCCTGAGGTAGGGCCAGGAGAGGTGGGACAGAGCAACAGGTAGTCCACGAGAGAATAAGAACGTCTCCAGAGCAGAGAAGTGAGATGGGAGCTTCAGAAACCAGGATGACTATCCTAGTCTACCATGCTGCCAGGACATCACTTATCTCCTGCGTACCTACTGTGTGCAGAGTGCCCTGCCTAGAACACTCCATCTCATGATCCATGGTCCTGAGGATCTCTGATATTGACACCATTTTTTTTTTTAAACAGAGGTGGAGACCGAGGCTCAGGGAGTTGAAGTCTCCACCCTGAGGTACATCAGCAATACATCACACTTGAACCCAGCTCTGCGTGACTCAGGAGCTGCCACCCCACTCTGGAGGCCTCTCAGTGAAGTGGGCAGGTCTGGCCCTACTCTAGCCCACTCAGAAGACCGACCCAACCCCCATTCCATGTCTCTTGGGTCCCCAACAGTTTGGAAAATCCTGATGAAAGCAGATGGTGGGGACAGATGGAGGGGAACGCATCTCAGGGCTGAGTTACACAAACAAACATTGATAAAGTGATTAAAACCTCAAGCCACTCCTTTCCAGAAAGCCCTGCCCACCCAGCTTGGAGCACAGTGAGCTGTGAAGTGGGGTCCGGGGGCCTCCCGAATGCCCTGGGTCTCAACCTCGTTAATCCCAGTCTCTGCCAGCTTCCCTTGATGCCAGGGACCACCCCCGGACCAGAGCCCAGGATGGTAGAGTGCCAGGAGCACAGCCCGGGAGGGGGTGGGGCAGGCCTGGCAGTTCCCCAGGGAGCTGGCCATGAAGAAGGAATGGCTGGGGAGGGCCGGGAAGTCCAAGGTTCTGGGGCTGCAGGCCTGAAATCAGGGCCAGAAGGGTAGGGGTGGGGATGCCGGAGCTGGGGTCTCTCTGGGGAAGCTTCACTGGCCATGTGGGACTCAGTTGGCCCAGGTCACACTGCAGCCCAGCTGCCCACAGAGCGAACTGAATCCTGGGCCTCAAACAGTTAGTGATTTGCTTCACTCCTCTGTGGAGGGAGACAGTGTCCGTGTGAGCCCGGGAAGGATGGCTGTGAGGGTGTGGAGCAGCCGCACACAGTGCCTAGGTACTCCACACACGGCACAAGCACCTAGGTACCTGCACAGAGTACCAAGGTAACAAGAGGCTAGGACTGGCTGATCCAGAGGCCCTCTACAGAGCAGAGGTTTGGATCTAGACATCCTACGGCAGCGTCCTGTAGTTGTTGGGCTCAGCAGTAGAGAGATGGGTGCCTTGACCCCCCAAGAAGAACAGAGTTCCTGGGCCAAGGCAGCTGAAGCCAGTGTCAGGGCCCCAGATGAAAGCGTCTCCTCTTCAGACCTGCATTCAAATCCTGCATTGGCCCTTTTCCTAGAGGCAGAAAGCTGGCAAAAATAGCCCTCTGACCTTCTGGTTCCTCCTCTGTGAAACCAACGTTTCCAGCTGCTTCCTGGACTGGCTCCCAGAAGCCCACAGACACCCCGACTCAAGCCAGCCAGCAACCAGCTCATGGTCTCCCACCTCCAGCTTGCAGGTCTCTGGGTCCTCCTCCACCCCCAGCAAGCAAGCCCGAGACCCCAGCACATTCAGGACCCTCTCTCTGGCTGCTCTTGTGTCTGCTGCCTCCCCAAGTCCAGCTCATTCTACAAGAGCGGGCAGGGTCTCCGCTTGCCTCTCCCCTCGCTTCTGGCCAGGGCCGCCTCAGAGCCCTGCTCTGGCCTTCTCACAGCTCCCCCTGCTGGGATCAGTTTCTCTAAATCTGATTAGAGACCGCACTGCTGAATAACCTCCCATGGCTCCGGCTGTCTTCCAGTGGAAAGGGACATCTGAGGCTCACACACCCACACCCTCCCACCAGCCCTTTTAACTCCTTGCCAGTTCAGCACCTCTGTACCTCGTGACTAGCCCCCCCACCCAGACTGAAGGAGTTCCTGGCCCTCTCCCAACCCTAATCTCTGCACATGGGACTGGATCTAGATGGGGGTGGCTGGAGTGACTCTGGCAGCTGGGGACCCATCATCCCAGCCAACTCTTGTCCAATAGGATAATTGCTCTTCCCTCCGCTGCCGGGGGGGGGGGGGGGAGCTACTCTCAGCTGGAAGCCACAGTGTGACAGTCCTTTGCTTGAGGTCACTCAGCTGGGCCCGCTGTCCCCCAGTCACAGCTTCAGACAGCTAAAACCCTGGGATCATTCTGAGGCAGTTCATGGCCTGGGCACTCCATCTTCTCATTCTTTGAGTCCGTCTGCTGTGTCTCAGGCTAGCTCCCCAGTCTTCTTATGGCCACAGCAAAGCCATCGTCACTTATGGAAAGTGGGGTGGAGACAGGAAGCTGTTTCCTCTAATCCTTTTTCTTTTCCTTGAGACAGGTTCTCACTATGTAGCCCAGACTGAACTCATTGTAATCCCCCTGCCTCAGTCTCTTAAATTCTGGGATTATAAGCATGTGCCACCATGTCCAGCTTTTCTACAGAAAATACACATTTCTGTAGGGGTGACTTAAAACCTGTATGCAGAACATGGCAGATCTCAGTTAAGATCTAATGAATCAAGTGCTGGTATTATTCTGAGACAGGGTCTCACTGTGTAGTTCTGGCTGTCCTGGAATTCATTATGGATACCAGGCTGGCCTCGAACTCAGAGACGCGCCTGCCTCTGCCTCCCAAGTGCCGGAATTAAAGGTGTGCACCATCACGCCTGGCTAAGGTTGTTGTTATTGTTTTGTTGGTTTGTTTTCTGAGTTTTAAAATTTATGTGGTTTGTATGTGTGTGATAGGTGTGATGTGTGTGTAGAGATGCACATGGGCCAGTGTACATGTGGAGGCTGGAGGACAACTTTGTGGGCCTGGCGCTTCCTCTCTACCTTTACATGGGTTCCAGGGATTTATCATCAGGCTTGCACAACAATCCAGTCTGCACGGTATGGTGATGCCTGCCTGGCATCCCAGCACTCCAGAGGTGCAGGCGAGAGAGAATCCTTAGCTACGCAAGGAGTTCTAGCCCAAGCTGAGACACATGAGACCTTGACTAAAAACAATTAAGAGTATGGCTGGGGGATGTAATTCAGTGGTGGCATGTTTGACGAATGTGCCTGAGATCCTAGCTTCAACCCCCACCACTGGGGTGGGGTGGGGAGGTCAGCGCATCAAGCTTTTTTTTTTTCCGAGACAGGGTTTCTCTGTGTAGCTTTGCGCCTTTCTTGGAACTCACTCTGTAGACCAGGCTGGCCTCAAACTCACAGAGATCCGCTTGGCTCTGCCTCCCTAGTGCTGGGATTAAAGGTGTGCACCACCACTGCCTGGCTTTTTTTTTTTTTTTTTCTTTAACAGTCAAGATTTTGAAGAGAAAGCCCCTTCTGGACTAGAGACTGCCTCCGAACCAACAGCTCTACCTTGGGGCCTGGCCAAGCAGAATGCTATTTCCAGTATCAATGCTCCGGGTGGCCACCTTCCTGACCACCTTCCTGGCCCATCTTCCTGGCCAGCTTCTCACAACCCAGGAACCTGTTTGAAATCCCCCGCTGCCTTTGACACTGAGCATCGGTACCTCCCAGGGCCTCAGCTCTCTGTGGAACACCCCCTTTCTAGAGCTGTGAGGCACCTGCGGGACACTGTGGGGTGGAGATGCACATGAAGGAGCTGCTGGGTGACACTTCAGGCCTAGGGATGACCACGAAGGCTAGAGGGTGGTGTCCCAGAGAGAGGACAGTGAACATCCTCTGCCAGGCTTGCTTCTGCAGCCACCTGCTAGTTTCTCCAACTTTAGAGAAGTGGAAACTGAGGCACAAACAGGTCAAGTTCTCTGACTGAGACTTCCTTAATTAAAGTCAGCATCAGATCCGAGGTGAGCGCTAGCTCTGCCTCTGGGAGCCAGACAGCCAGGTTGCATTAGAGGAATGAGGGTCTCCCAGAGACTCCCAGAGGCACCCAGAGCTCCAAACCCCCGACTCAGGCATCCCCCAATCTGTCTATCTGGGAAAACCCAGCCAGCTCTCAATCCTAGCACCTCAAGCTCTCTGGAGGCAGGCCTGGGATTGCCTCCTGTTTCCATAGTAACGGTGAACAGAGGGCCTCCCGCAGCAGTGTGGGGATACCACAGATACCAGTACCTGCAAGTCCACACGTGCCCTGGGAATCCTTAGGATGGGGCAGCCTCTAGCGCATGTCCATGCACGTGCATGCCTTTGCACAGCATGCATGCCTTTGCACAGCGTGCACACCCAGGGCTGGGAATGCATGATCCTCCATAAATACGTGAATACTCTTGCATATGCAGACACACGCACAGTGACCCAGGCCTTGGCATGCTCACCCACCAATGGGATGGGAGATCATCCTGCCGGATGTGACCCACTCCCACAGCAGCCCCAGCCCACCCTGGTGCAGAGCAGTCTTGGGAAGGAGGGATTCCGCTTTACACCACCCACTGCAACACATTTACTGACCACGTGTTGGGGACTGCATGTGGCATCTCCTGTAGTCCTCACAACACCACGGGGGAGGAACCAGATAAGGAAACAGACTCAGAGAGGCAGACCAACTTGCCTGTGGTCACACAGCGACAGACTGCATCACAGTTTAAGCTTAGGACTGCTGGGGTTCTTTCCCTCATTAGCAGACCCCTCAACGTCAGAGCCAGGAGCACTCATCTTGATACACACACACACACACACACACACACACACACACACACACACACACACACACGCACGCACACCCAAAGACAGGGTGGGGGTGTGGGGTGGGGGTGGGGGGAGATGTTATAGTCAGAGGCAGGACAAGAGAGGTGACTTCCCAATCAAAACACCAGCAATAGCCAGGCGGTGGTGGCGCACGCCTTTAATCCCAGCACTCAGGAGGCAGAGGCAGGCAGATCTCTGTGAGTTCGAGGCCAGCCTGGTCTCCAAAGCGAGTTCCAGGAAAGGCGCAAAGCTACACAGAGAAACCCTGTCTCGAGAAACCAAAAAAAAAAAACAAAAAAAAAAAAACACCAGCAATAATGAGCTTTTTGCTCCCCGGCCAACAGACACTTCTGTGGCCTTTGGCTGTTCCTGGAATGAAGGGGGAGGTGAGAACGTCATAGAGGCTTGCCTTCTATGGAGTTCTGCCTAGTCAGAAACGGAACAGCAAGCACAAGACCTTCTGTGAAGCTACCTGGGGTCACTAATCAGCTCCTGGTTACTATTCCCTCAGGAAATCCAAGACAATGCCTAAGTCCCTGCCTCGCTGGCTACATCTTCACAGCTTCTGCAGACTGGACACCCGGATGACATAACCAGGACTAGGTTCCAGCTCAGTGACAGAGCACCTGACCGGTGTTCTGCAGGTACAAGAAACTGAGTTCAATTCCCAGCAGCACAAATAACAACAATAACATGTGGAGATGGAGCACGTGCCTGTAATCTCAGCGTATGAGGGGTAGAGGGAGGCAGGAGGATCTGGAATTCAGGGACAGCTTGTGCTACATATAGCCCTGTCTCAAAAGAACAAAATAAGTAAACAATGATAACATTATGATCTATGGGCCACAACAGCCACTACCGTGCAGACTTCT